AGTCATTGACCATTAGCAGCTTAACAGCCACTGGAGCAATGGCTTCTTTCGGAATGCAATCTTGGGAGATTACAGTGCACGTATCTTCCCGTTTCCAATCTCCAGCTGATCTTAGGAGATCAGGGGCGAGGATGGCTTGCAATGGTGGCTGCACGGACACTTGTTGATAGTCTGATCTCACTGAGCAAACGATATACTCTGGTCGGCCACGGAGTCTGCAGTCTAGTCTAATCTTCACGGGCATTTGGATTGCTGTTGTTCGGATTTCTCTGGTCCAACCAAAACTGACGAGGGGTATTTCGGTACAGTTTTGTAACTGTAGCTTTTCCTCTTACATTTGCATGTACTCCGATAAGGTTATGGTTGAGGGTGAGTGACATGCGGTCCCATAATAGTGGGGATCGGGGCAGGGGTAGTTTGGTTTATACGAAAATACGGCAGCATAACATGATTCAAATGCGTCGGATGCTTGCAAAGTGGCAAGGATCCGATTTTATATAAACTGTAACCACATAGTTACAAATAAATAAATAAATAAATAGTAATAATCGATTTTTATGAATTCATAATGATACATGGATCTAATTAATAAAAATGAAGATTTATGGTCGATGGTGAACGGTATCAGGTTGTGTATATGATTATGATGTAATGGAATAATGGAACCAGAGTTGCTGAGCCAACAAGTACCTCTCCTGAATGAGGTACGAGCAGAAGGATTTGGAGATATCCATGACACTGAAATGATTCCGGGCATGTGCAAGTGCAACGCTTCTCTCGCTAAACCTGTACTAGTATGATCTACAGGTGCCGGTAGCTATGGCCAGAATGTTGCTTATGTTTTTCGTTGCCTGAAAATGACTCAAGGGGCACAATGATCGCCTCCCACTGAATGATTGAAATGCTGCATATGCTCCATTTGTCTCCTTCTGCTTGGCGGTAGCATTTATCCTTCCCCTTTTGTTCCGGAGCTGATTTTTTTAATACACTCCCCTGAGCTAAAAAAATACTCCTACTTTCCTTTTTTTTCAATTAATAATACAGCTACCCTCAATGCACAGCTGCCTTGGTGGCTACTGAGATGCAACTTTAGTTAAGTACTTGCCATGGATTTTTAGCATTCCAAACGTGCAGATTGGGACTTTTCACCCTATAATCCCCATTGGCTATTGCTACCTTTTTATCCTCGTGGCAAGTTGGCTAATGGCAACACCCAGCACCCCCACACGAGGAACAGAAGATATCTCCGTGGAGAGGACCACAGGCACAACGGGGTACGTGCACACTGTTTAGGAGTGTGAGAGCTAGAACCGACCATCCAACCATGAAAGTATGCAAACCAAGATGGAAGTGTGTAACCTTTTTACCGCATCATCACCCCCCTGTTCATTAGAAGTGTCTCCGATTTTGGTACTTACTTACATGTCTAGTTATAAAAAGCATGCCTGGAAATCCTTTACGTTAGAGCACCCACAATGGTTATCTATAGACTCTCTACAAGAGATCCATGTCAGCATATTTTCCTACTTGAAAGAGATTAAATGAAGAAAGAGAACAAATCTATCTACTAACCTGGAGATAGTCTATAGAGAAAAACGAGACAATGCATTAGAGAGCTATAGATACCCACGTAGACATACTATTGATGTGGTTTACTATTAATCTAGCCTATTACTGAGATATACATGTTTTATAGAGAGCACCTTACTTTACAATTGCGGATGCTCTTAGAGGCCGATTGGGCAAGAAAATATTACAAGGACAACAAAAGTCAAATTAATAAATTGGATTGTGATCTTAATAAATCCATTTTTTCTTGCATGTACTGTTTGTCCGTCTTTCGGTATCCAGTTCTCCATGACCTGCTCCCCGAGAGCATTGTGTCTTGAGCACCCTTTATAGTGTATACAGATCGTTTAAAAAACCACAAAATTTCAAGGTTTCAACACGGGAGGAAAGAAAATTTGAACAAATTTTATGGTATTTGAGAAATTCAAATTTACCACAGTAAACACAAGTGGAGTTTCATCAAAATTTGGTAAAAAAACGTTGTACTGCCAGGGTCGGGATTTGGTAGTCCATTGGAAAGGTGGACCTTATTATAGACAAGGGCTCTGGATTTCTTCCCTAGAGAGGTGGTATTTTGTTTTTTTTATTAGAGAAAATTCCTTGAATAGAATTTAAAATTGTTAAATTTCTTTATATGCCATTGAAAACATGCATTGACTTATATAGCACTGAGATATCATTTTTTGACCTTATATGGCACTGTTGTTAGTCCACCATCTACATGAGCACATGATATAAGTGAACTGCAAAATGAATAGCAAAAACTTTTGCTCCTTCTCTCCAGATATATGAATGGTACTCGAACTTGACCAACATGGCTCATAGCAGCGCTCTAGCTGATCCTCGAGTAGTAATAAGAAAGCCTAGCAAAGGATAAGGAACTATCCGATCCGATGCAGTCACTAGAACACCGGTTACTACCATTAACATATGAGCCCATTCACCTCTTAACCCACGTACCAAAATCCCTTATATTTAGGGGCGAAGAGAGTAGTACCTAGGTCGTGATGCATTGGAAGACCTGGGTGTCATAGAAAAGCAAGAAAAAATGGTTTAGTGGTATATAAGAAATATAAATAATAATAATTTTTATGAAAAATAATAGAATAGAACGTGGTACAGAAGGTAGAGAGAGAGACAGAAAATTTTACTCTTTTTATTAGTTTATATGATAAAAAAATGTATAAACATTTTTGGATAGTAGCATGTATTCTATTAGGGCTCAGGAGACACACATCGCTTTGCCAAATGACACGGTGATTTGAAAAAGGGCATGAAAAGATGAAAGATTGGTAACTTACGTTGATTCGAGGAGATGCTATCTATGAAAGGGCAAGTAAACAATTTGTAATTGCTCTGTCATAATAAGCGACACACATCAACTCACAAAAGGACAAGATGAGTTATAAAGATATGGCATTGGAGAAGGTGAGAGGCGAAAATTTGGTAAATTCCACTTCTTGTAGGAGATCACAAGTAAAACTATCCGCTTTGTTAATTGTCACATAGAAATGGCTTCTAGTGATGTAGTTATTCTGTCATAAGCTAAGAGACATGCATTACTTTGCAAAAAGACACGATGATTTGAAAAGAGACGCGAAGAGATCAAAATTTGGCAACTTCCATTCATCATAATTGAAGTTACTCACTTAGCAAAGGCTGTTAGGAAACGATATGCGAACAAACGATAAAAAACAATAGATCAATCACAAAAGACACGAGGTTTAATATGGAAAACCCTCCCAAAACAGGAGAGAAAAAACCACGGGCGCCAGCCAGCAAAATATCTTCACTATATCTGAGGTGAGGTTACGTCGCCGCACGACGGCTTACAAGAGGTATATAATGGTGGAACCCTAAAAGGGATGATGATCAGCCTTCGCTCCGCTACGGCAGAAGTTGGCCTTCATTAAGTGCAAATGAATTTAGATCACAACTCAACAAAGGCCACGTGGAAAAGGTTTTTAACGGTTTTTAGGTGTTTGTTCGGGCCTACTCCCTTCATCCCAAAAGAACAAACCAATCCATCCATTCGCAAAAATACATGCAAAGGACATAGAGAGAACAATTTGGAAACTTCTGTTTTTATTTTTTATATAAAAAATCCACTTGATACGAACTCCTGTAATAATATGATGGTAGACTTTTAATGTGTGTTTGTCACCGTAACCAGCCTACCTCATTAAAAAAACACATCTTAGGACAAAAACACGATTATATACTTAAAAAAAATGAGGACGAAAAACCTCTAGATCTCCAACTAGAAAAAGCTATAAAAAAACTAAAAAAAAGAAAAAGAAAGAGAGATGGTCACCATAAGCACCACCCCAATCCATGTCCACATCCCAGCTGGCAATCGTCGTTGCTTACTGCGCTCTCTTTCCGTACGCGCTGATAGATCCAGCACAATATAAGACGCGGGTCTACATGCGACCCCACGCCGCTCTCTTACCTCACCAGCGACGTGTTCTCCACAGCACACACCCAAAGTAAACCCCGTTCTGACGGAACCAAAACCAAACCGGGGCAGCAGCAGCAGCAGCAGAAGAAGAAAAAAAAGAACCCCACGACGATCCAACCCCCCATCCCCAACCACAACACCGACGACACGTCAACAAACAGTAAAAAAAAGATCGCTTTCTCTCCACCCGTGTCAACTCATCTCCCAGTCCCAGTCCCAGCAAATCAGCTCGCCGACTTCGCACGAGAGAGAGAGCTCACGCTGTTCCCTTCCCTGTACTATACAAAACCAGTATAGCAACGCAACGCGTGCACCGTGGCGTGGCTGGCTGGATAACGGCGACGCCGATCGATCGCTCGCTCGCCCGATCGGAGGCGTTTGCGCTGCGTTGGCCTGGGCCAGCCGCCGCTGCCGCCTTTTTTTCCCCCCCCGCGGCCCGGCCTTATCAACACCGGGGGGATGCAAAATCCACAATCCAATCCCACCGCCGCTCCGTGCCTGTGCCCCCTGCCCGTGTGTTGTCCACTCGCCACGCAGTTTTTGTACGTGAAAACCACACGGCGTGTGGTGTGGTGTAAAAAAGGGCGTGGCACGTGGGCACGAATCGCGGGGCGGGATCGGACGGTAGCCCGCCCACCCACCACCACCCCGCAGCGGAAAGGGCAACGTGCCGGATTGGCACCAGCGAGCGAGCGAGAGGGGGGGAGTGTGACCCACAGTGGCGCGGGCCTTCCGCCTCATCATCCCGATGCCTCTCTGACTCCCACCGCAACTCCCCCAATAGAAAGGCAAGCGAAAATTAGAGAGAGAAGAGAGAAGCAAAGGGAGACTGCGAGAGAGAGAGAGAGAGAGAGAAAGAAAAAAAAGTTTTTTTTTTCCTTCCCTTCCCTTCCCTTCCTCTTCGCCCCGTCCACCGCCCGCCGCCGCGCAGTAGCGCAGTTCTTGGGGAGGGGGAGGGGGAGGGGGGAGCTGCGGGTGAGGGGGGTGGAGCTGTGGCGGCGGCAGATCGAGAGGAGATGCCACCCAATCCGACGGGGACGGAGGGGGAGCCCGGGCCGGCGGTGGAGCCGGCTCCGGCGGGGGCGGGGGCGGCGCCGGTGGTCAAGAAGAAGAGGAATCTCCCCGGAACGCCAGGTGAGAGCGCGCGCTCGCGGGGTTGCTTTTTTCCTTTGGGGTTTCGGTGGTGGGTGCTATGCTTTCTACTACTTCGAGGCGTGGTTTGATGGGTGGTGTGCGCGGGGGCAGATCCGGACGCGGAGGTGATCGCGCTGTCGCCGGGGACGCTGCTGGCGACGAACAGGTTCGTGTGCGAGGTGTGCGGGAAGGGGTTCCAGCGAGACCAGAACCTGCAGCTGCACCGCCGCGGCCACAACCTGCCGTGGCGGCTGCGGCAGCGCGGCCCCGGTGCGGCGCCGCCGCGCCGCCGGGTGTACGTCTGCCCGGAGCCCGGCTGCGTGCACCACAACCCCACCCGCGCCCTCGGCGACCTCACCGGCATCAAGAAGCACTTCTGCCGCAAGCACGGCGAGAAGCGCTGGACATGCCAGCGCTGCGGCAAGCGCTACGCCGTCCAGGCCGACCTCAAGGCGCACACCAAGACCTGCGGCACCCGCGAGTACCGCTGCGACTGCGGCACCCTCTTCACCAGGTATAGCTTGCTACCCTCGACCCCAAATCCCCATGGTCCCTTGGGGGCAACAAAGAATTTCCATTCTTGCTTGCCTTGATTTTCATTGGTCGGGTTCAGGAGGGACAGCTTCGTGACGCATCGCGCCTTCTGCGGCGCGCTCGTGGAGGAGACGGGCAGGGTGCTCGCCGTGCCTGCGCCGCCGTCGCCTCGCCCGCCTGATTTGGAGGCCGAGGAGAATGTGGATAAGGATAAGGATAAGGAGGAGGAGGTGAAGGAGAAGGAGAAGGAGAAGGAGCTGGAGGAGAATGAGGATTCACCTGTGGCCGAGGTCGATGAGCCGCAGCCCAGCCAGGCGGTGGCGGAGGTGCCGCAGCAGTGCGCTCCATCACCGCCGCCGCCGCCTCCGATACTGCAGGAGCATCCTCAGCCGGTGGTGGCAGTGGTACCAAATGTGGATGGTATGCTTCTTTCACATTTTTGTTGTTTGTTTGTCATATTGCCCATAGATAGACTAGACGAGATTTATGGCAAATTGGAGCTCATTTAGTCAATCTTACTACTGTAACAAGAAAGCAATGCATGTGTCTTTGTTTCTTTCCCGATTCGGTTTGGTCATTTGATCGGTTAGCTGAACAATGAGGAGTAACATGTTCCATCCTATTCTGGTGTATCTATTTGCAGAGCAAGAGGTGGTTGCTAAGCCAGCAGTGATTGCCAAGATAGAGGTGGAAGATGAGCGAGATGAGGAGGTTTGCTTTCAGGAAGTGGATCGATACAAAGATGCTGAACTGGAGGACTCAAACCTGCTGGATAATGACACTCCGATGCTGCCTTGTTTCCTTCCCTCGCCCTCGGAGGCCATTGGCACAGATGGCAGCAGCACCAGCTGCGGCACGGGAAGCAGCGTTACCAATGCTATCGCTCCAGCTACGACGACGAGCACGTTCGCTGGTCTGTTTGCGTCGGTCACAACGAGCAGCACTCCCCAAAGCAGATCCCTCCGCGATCTCATCGGCGTCGATCCCACATTCCTCTGCCTTGCAATTGGTGCGCCGTCTTCTCTCTTCCCACAGACAAATGCAAGTGACCCCTGCTCCTTTGCTCCACCTCCAGCACCGCACATGTCCGCAACCGCTCTCCTGCAGAAGGCTGCTGAGGTTGGTGCTTCGCAATCAAGCTCATCTTTCCTGAAGGAGTTTGGGCTCGCCGCCTCCACCTCATCGTCTCCCCCATCCAAGCTATCCCAAGGGAGGTTCACTACTGGTAACACACCAACAACATCTCATCCACATCCACATCCACATCCGCATCCTCATCCGCCTCAAGGAAGGTTCATGGATAACGTCCCACAGCCGCCACCGCCAGCCAAGCTGCCACATCGAATGTTCACCGATAACAGTGTACAACAGTGGCACCATAGGAGCAACCAGCAAATGGAAATGGAGCCTGGGCCGATGCTACCTGGCGGTCTTGGCCTTGGTCTCACCTATGACACTGGGAATTCAGGGTTGCCGGACTTGATGATGGGACCATCGGCACTGTACGGTCCCAAGCCTGCCACTCTGGACTTCCTTGGGCTTGGCATTGGAGGGACCATGGGTGGCTCCACTGCAAATGGTGGCCTCCCGGCATTGATGGTTGGAGGAGAGCTGGACATGGGGTCTGCACAGGCGCCATGGGAGGAGGCCAAGAGAAAGACCAACGGCCGCACAATCCTGTGAGGTTTTCTTTTTGCAATAACCTTGGGTTTTGTGCTCTGGCTAGCATCATTCTTTCAGCCACCTGCCTGTATTGGTAGAGAGAAACCTAGAACAATGTAAGATGCAGACTTGTAAATACATCCGTGCTTCCTCTCCTCTCCTCCTCTGCCTTCTTCTGTCTAGAATTATTAAAAGGGCTTATTGTTGTTATAGAGGGAAAAATCTGCTGGTCATTTGGAACCTGACCTTTGCTGGTCCTGTTCCTTTCAAACTGTATGAAGGTAACATGGGCAGTAAGTAGTTGCTGTTATCTTAACTGAGAGACCTGTGGCTCGAATGCGAGATTGTTTCGGAAAAGATAAGGTGAGATTGCGACGGTGAGGTTGACATGGGAAAGATGTCTTTGCTGTTGCTATCATCTGGGTCAATATCCTTGCCCCCAAAAAACTACTTTTGTGGTCTTTTACTACTAGTACTGCTACTTTTCACCCTGCGTTCTGTGATTGGATGACCGTTTGATGGTTACTAACCATCTTTTTTGTGCCTTTTTTTTAACACCATCTCTTATGTGCCTTGTATTACTATGTTATCACTATGCTTTATGTAGTATTGATCAGTCAAATGTTTTTTCATGGTTGTGTACAAGTGTACCTATTTTTTAACACACTCTCTTATGTGCCTTGTATTACTATGTTATTACTATGTTTTATATTGATCAGTCATATTTTTTCGAGGTTGTGTAAATGTGTGCCTAGTATTATGTTATTGTTATGCTTTGTAAAGAAAAAACCAATTTCTATCTATAAAGCTGGATATAAATCTGGATATAGGCTATGTTCAGATTTATCATTATCATCATATTGATTTTCTCTACGACGGAAAGAGCAGTGATCGGTTATAAATGATTTTACCAAAGAACTGGATCCCTCTTGTTCCCCGCCCGTGACAACGACATTTGTATTGTTAGCAGTCTAGCACACAGTTAGTTCTCCTTCCATCCCATAAAACTAAACTTAATATCGGATGTGATACATTTTAATAATAGAAATATGACATTTGATTTTACTAGGGTCGAGTTTAGTTTCAAACTTTTTCTTCAAATTTTCAACTTTTCTATCACATCAAAACTTTCCTATATACAAACTTTCAACTTTTCCGTTACATCGTTTTAATTTTAACCAAACTTTCAATTTTGACGTGAACTAAACATATCCTTAGGTTTGTTTTTTCATGTAAAGGTTTGTTTTTTCATGTAACGGAGGGAGTACTAGGGTTAGTACAGTACATTTCTAGCAGGCTTTCAGATGGGCAGACACAAGTGTGCCTGATTCCAAAGCGAAGACAGAGATCTAGTAGGAGCTAGCGCTGTGTCCGGAACTAAAGGTATCCACGATTCCACGGACCATGGCTAATGACATAGATTTTTTTCTTGGATCAGTGAGTTGTAGGCATGCCAACCTTAAGAATGGAATCACATCCTCCATTATCCTCCGTCCCTATCCTCGAATATAAACAGTAGAGCTACAACAGAGCTTTCCACAGAGAGAGATGATGACCAGTCCACTAGCATATCAATATTTCCTGGGTCCTGGGGTGGTCTTGACCAAACAGATTTTGAAATAATGAGAAACCGGCAAATTTTCCAATTCAAACCTATTTTTCTTTTTTTTCTCAAGGTGATTTAAATACAAGAGTAAATATCGTAAAACTACATATACTTAGGTCAAATTATCACAACACTATAGATTTAATAGATTTAAGGTAATGTATCACAAAACTAACGTTTTAACATCAATTTTATCATAAAATTATAGTTTTTATGTGGAGTATCACATAACTGCATATTTTAGACTTTAAGTCCTTAGTAGTTAGTATCATTGTTTTGCTGGAGTTCTAAATATTGTAGTTCTGTGACTAAATTGGCACAAAATCTATAATTTTGTGGTAAATGATTATAAAATCTGTAGTTTTGTGGTGCTCCGTCTCAAATATGTAGCTTTGTAATAAAGTAGGTGCTAAATTTTGTAGTTTTCTGAAATTTATTTTAAATATAAACTAGCATGGTGACCTACGCAGATTGCGCGGCTAGCATCATTATATTTTCTCTCATATAATAGAATATATGTTTTCTCAATGTATTATTCAAATATATCAAAATGACAACATAATTTTAAATTTTGTACTAACTTTACGAAACTACTAATGTGCAATATTCATATTGTATTTATATACGTGTTAGTTATTAATTATTTTTAATATCAAATTTTAGTTATTTGTAAATTATATTCCTATATGGACTCTAGACTAGTCTTTCAATATTTCTTTTTCTTTAATTCCGTATTTTCGTTATCTGTAAATTGTATTTCTATATAGACTCAAGGCTCTTCTTCCAATATTATTTATTTTTAATTCTGAATTTTAATTATTTCTAATTGTATTTCTATGTGGACTCTAAACTCATCTTTCAATATTCTTTAATTTTTAATTTTGAATTTCAATTACTTCTAAATTGTATTCCTATATTGACTTTAGACTCTTCTTCCCATGCTTTTTTTTAATTTCAAATTTTAGTTATTTGTAAATTGTATTTTTATACGAACTCTAAACTCTACTTTTAATATTATTATGTTTATTCCGAATTTTAGTTAGTTTTAAATTTCTATATGGACTCTATACTCTACTTCTAATATTCCTTATTTTTAATTCCGAATTTCTATTATTTCTTAATTGTATTTCTATATGGACTCTAGTCTCCTCTTCCAATATTCCTTATTTTTAATTTCGAATTTCAGCTATTTCTAAATTGTATTTCTATATGGACTCTGTTTTTCTTTTTCTCTGATTAATATGAGAATTTCTAGGCCGTGAGAGCGAACGTGGAGGTTTCTTTTTCTATTCCTTTAATAAGTTAATAGATTTATGTGTTCCAGACAACCAATAAGGCCTTAGGAATAGGGAAATTTTCTATCTTTCTACATATATTAAACTGTTTTTCTAAATTCCATATGGAATTTTTGGGGCCTAAAAGTATATCTTTTCTAAGGCCACCATCATCTACTTCCATCAGGGTTCCAAGATGCAACTCTGACTAGTAATTTCTATTGTAAAATATTTGCAAACCCCCCACAAAACTATATATTGTAAAAGTACTTCTCAAGTTAGATAAATTGTAAGCTTTAAACATACATCCAATCTAAATATTCAGAAAAATGGTTAAAGCTTATAAAGTTTTCTTCAAACATATCCAAGACAACATATACTTCGAGCGGAATATGTGTTTGTCTAGCATCGGGTGTTCTTGTGATTATTCACCATTTTTTCCTGTAGTCTTGTCCTACAGTTGCAAACTGGTGGATAGTATACGTTGTGGCAGAGTTCGGTGTTCTATCCACTGAACATGTCGACGTCCTCTGGAAAGGAAAAGGAGAGAACGAGCGTGTCGAGTTTCTATTGGGACTGATCGTACAGACCTACTACAGGTTTGTTTCATCGTTTGTCTGACAGAATGAACACAGTGTAATCTGTGCAGTGCACAACTGAAAAGTAAACATTATTGGAGACATTGCAAAAACTATGATTCATCACATCACTCATGTAAAGTTTCTTGAAAAATAAAAATCCTTGCCACTTAGGAGTACTGCAGCGTGTGCTCCTGGGAAAAAAAAAATCAACCTACGGGTTTAACTCATGTGTTCGATTTGTAGTTAGAAGATTTTTTTTCCTTTTCGTAGAGGGACTAACTACTACCTTTGTTCCAATTTTTTAAAGCATTTCGAGAGGTTTTTACATAAAGTAATTAAGTATGTGAGATTGAATGATGAAATATTTTGATTAGTTGAGAAAAAAAAGTATGTCGATGAATTAAATAAGAATGATTGTGATTGGTTGAATTCCTACAAATAGTTACATTTTGGATGGAGGGAGTAGCTAGCAAGTGTGGAGTAAAATCATAATATCTTCATGTAACATTCAACATCACGTTACATGTTTAAACCTGTCACATAAGAAAACTATACAAGTTGTTTTGCACAAAATACTTTTTGTCATGTTATACCTCTGTATTCACATTAGGGTTGATTAAACTTGTCACATAAGAAAACAACATAAGTAGATTACATTTGTACACTTTTGGAGAAACCCTCTGTACTCCCGGTTCATAACCCCCTTTTAGTCCCGGTTATCTAACCGGGACTACGAATCCGGGACTAAAGATCGCTATCTTTAGTCCCGGTTGGTAACACCAACCGGGATTAAAAGGAGGGTAGGGACTAAAGGAGGGTAGCGGCAGTCCCATTAGGTCTTTTTTTCATTGTTTTTTTAGCCAGAGTTTAATCCCTATATTTTCTCCCAAATCGAGTGGGATGCATATTCCTAAATCAAAGTAACATCCCAAAACATTCACATCACAAATCTTAAGTTACTTGTACACACAAATCAAATACATCACAAATCTTAAAAAAATTACACACAAACCAAATAAATCACATATTATACATCTCAGATCCATACAACAAATCACAAAATTATACGTCTAAGTGAATCACAAATTCTAAAAAAAAAAGAAAAAAAGAATGGATGCCGTGGCGCCGCCTGCCGCCGCTCGCTACTCGGCCCGTGCGCGGCCTGCGTGCAGCCCCGCCGGGCACGGCCCCGCCTGACGCATGCGGGAAGGGAGGAGGGGGAGGAGGCGGCCCTCGCTGGGCATCGGATGAGAAGGGAGGAGGGAGAGGAGAGGGCCGGGATGGGAGGAGGAAGGGGAGGAGGGGGAGGAGAGGGCTGGGATGGGAGGAGGAAGGGGAGGAGGGGAGGAGAGGGAGATGGATTTGAGGAGAGGAGAGGCCGGTTGTGGAGGAGAGGATAGGGAATAGGGATTATATACTATGCATGATTTTAGTCCCGGTTAGTAATACCAATCGTGATCTTTAGTCCCGGTTTGTGACACCAACCGGGACTAAAGATCCCCACCCCTCTGACAAGGACTGACAGGGGATGAACCAAGATCATCTTTAGTCCCGGTTGGTATTACAAACCGGGACTAAAGAAGATCGTAGAATGGCTATGGGGTTTTAAACCGGGATTATTGTGATTTTGGGGCGACCGAGCAAAGATCAATTTTCCAGTAGTGGTAGTCACAGACTTAAAAGTCAGTACTCATTTCCCTCAAAAAAAAAAAGTCAGTACTCATTAGGGTTGCATGGATCTGTGGTTTGCAATGGCCCCATGCCACCTTGTACTAAAAGATACTAGTGCTTTGCTAAGCATCTCCAAGATTAACGAGTAGCAATCTAACAAATCACAAGCTTTGCTTCTGAAAAAGTTTCACGCTTTACGATCTATACGAACAGTTGTTCTTGCAGTCCAAAACGAAGGGGATTTGATACCACGTCAATAGTGATGTAGCCATGCTGTTTCAGTATCTTCGAACTGTTTTTGACCAAAGAAAAGCAGAAAGGTATCATATGCTTATCTTAGATTTTGTGTACCCAATGCATCATGAACTTGCTGTGTGCATTATCTTAAAAAAAGATGAACTTGTTATCCATCCAGGAACCGGGTCCCTATCGTATATTAGCGAATTCGACGTAGAACCGTTCTCTCTCTCTCTCTCTCTCTCTCTCTCTCTCTATATATATATATATATATATATATATATATATATATATATATATATATATATATATATATATATATATATATATATATATTAAATTTGTTTGGTGCTCCATGGTGC